GCCTCAGCATCACAATATGAAGAATTCCACAAATACTCTCCTCAGGGAAAGAATATTAATTAGTTAAAAAAAAAAAAAAAAAATTTTTAATTTTATGTAAATGAGCATTTTGCCTGCATCTAAGTGTACCCGTGCATGCACTGCCCATGGAGGCCAGAGGAAGGTACTGGATCCCAGAGGAAGGCATTGAATCCCCTGGGCTACTAGAATTACAATCAACTTGAGTTAAAGATTATTGTTTGCTGCTATCTCAGTGCTGGGAACTGAACCCAGGTCCTCTGAAGAACAGTACTCTTAACTCCTGAGCCATCTCTCCAGCTCCTAGGTAGGTAGTATTTCAAATCCCCATTTTATAGATGTGCAAACACTACAGCTTTATGAGGTATATAGTAAGTTGTTACAGATGAAGGTGGTAGTATTAGAGCAAGCTCAAAGTCTCTCAGGGCAAGATGACTCTGCTAGACTTCCTTCCTTAAACCAAGTACCCAGGGCAAGTCAGAGTTTGGGATTACAGAATATTCTTAAAACATGAAAGCATTTAGATCTGAAACTAATGAAAGGTACCGTCTAAAAATGAAAACATATCCTTACACGGAAGCGTGACACAGTTTTCCCACCTACAGTTAGGGCTGCTGTTTTCCCATTATGGTTTTCCTTTGAAGTGTATTTTAAGACATGGCAGTCTTGTACCTGAAAAAGATGAAGAAAACCCTAAGCATGTACCAATACACATTTTAACATGATACATCAGCCTTATTTAAGGCCTGGGACAATCAAGAGTTCCCCAAAGTTACTTAACTGATCATTCCTCTGATGATAACTATAGCTTTAACATGCGTAAGTAAACCTTTGAACTGTCAAATACATGCACAACCACAAGGATACAGCAAAATGAGTATTTATAAAGAAAACAGTGAGGATCCCAAAAGACCATGTCTCTCCCTCCCCAGTCTTCATATTGATTTCCCTCTGAAGCAGGAATTCTCAAGAGTGACCCTTAGCCAGCAACAGTATCCCCTGCAAGCACGGCAAGGATGCACTCAGGCACCAATCCATATCTAATGTTGTGTAAGGTCTCCAGGTGACTGAGGAACAATGCCTTTCACTCAGCATGGATTTGTAGGGTTGATGCTTCTGCTGGGTGTAGCTCTATTCTGTTTCACGTTCACTGTTGTACAGCACTGTATGATTTCTCTACCCTTTCTACTGCTGATGGACATTTAGGTATTTCCAGTTCTGGGATTTTAAATGTCATGCTGCTTGTATCACATGGTGTAGAAAAGGAATGCCAGTACACGCCTGTTGGAATCAGGAGGGGAAACTCTGGACTACAAGGCTGGCACATCTCATGTTACAACATAATTGCCTTCTTAATATAATACATACACACACATATGTATATATATTATATATGTAACAATAATAATTAAAGAAGTCAGGAAATTGAGAGGGTATGGGGGTAATGTGGAGAGGGGAAAGAGGGTGGAAATAATGTAGATACAGTACTCACATAGGAGATTCTCAAAAAAAAAAAAAAAAATTTATGAAGTTTCTGTGGGCTCTCAGTGCCTTGACAGTACTCTACATGCATCAGCTTTTAATCTTTATCACTGTGTAACCATGTCTCTAGATTAGGTTTCAAAGACTAAGTTGTCCAAATTGATTTGGGGAGTAATGGTCTTCTAACTTTATCCATGCTTTCTTTACAGTAGTAAGAGTAGTTAATGTTTTCTAGACACCTAACACTTGTTTCAAGTACCTGAAATTTATCATTTGTGCAGTCCTCACAATAACTTCCTCAACTGGGTCGTTCTAGTTCTTTTATAGAAGAGAATGACATTTACAGATGAGGCACAGTGCTCCAAGGAGCACGGTAAGCAGCAGAACCAGGACTTAAAATCTGGTATTCTGGTCCGAGGGGCTAATTTCTTAACCATTAGAAAACTGATCTCAGTGAATAAAACATTGTTTCCCCAGAAAGAATAGAGTATTATATTCTGACAGTCAGAAACAAGATCAAAATTATAATATAGCTGGGCATGGTGGCACACATCTTTAATCCCAGCATTCAAGATGCAGAGGCAGATGGCTCTCTATGAGTTCAAGGTCAGCCTGGTCTACATAGCAAGTTTCAGGCCAGTCAGAGCTACACAGTAAGACCTCGTCTACACACACACACACGCACGCACGCACGCACACACACCCTGATCTGGAATTTGAAGAGCTGTATATGAAAAATGGGATTGATATGTTTCCAATAATGAATTAACTGATGGATATATGTGAGAATCTAGGTTATGTATTTTTCTTTCAGGCACTGCCCCAGTTATCCAAAACCCAACTTTGAGAAGTCAACTGCTCAGGCAAGGCTCAGAACTTTCCTGGAGTTGTCAGAAGCAAAGTTCTTTAACATTATTACTTCTCCCTTCCCCATTCAGGATACAAATATTACCTATTATGGTTTATGCAAAAAGATCTTGGCACACATACAAATCACTCATATGTTCTATTTCCTCTTACCTGAAGTAACGTGACTGCATGCTTTTGGCCATCCTTGGTCCATAATGGCATCATGCCCAGTTTCAGAGCAATAAGGCCAACTCTAGAAGAGCCTGGTAATTAAAACCAAGTCAATGTTAAAGCTTTTTCAATGCTTCCAACAATATTTGAGTCTTTCCTAAAACTAGGTTTCAATATAAGTAGCAGGCATATAGGAAATACACAAACATATGTATAGAACATATAATAATATATTCAAGATTATTCCTTATAGATGTATCTTCAACAATGAGTCCTAAAACTAGGTTTCAGTGTAAGTAGCAAGCAAATAGGAAATATGTAATGTATGCATAGAATATATATATTCAAGACTATTCCTTACACATATAAGTATCAACTATGTCAGGCACAATATATTGGTGCTCAATAAATGTTTTTAAAATGAGAAAATGTAAAATAGTTTTAAGATAACTGTATTAATACCAGGCATATATATTCATCATTATGGTTTCCTAATTTCAAATCACGTCCAACACTATTAATCAGGAAACATTTACCACTCAAATACTAAGAGGTTAGATGGGATTCTACTATGCAGATGCTACAAGTCATCATATTGATAAATTTCAGTGTTTATCACTACATGAAGATTTATTACATAAACTGGAAATGTACTCTATTAAAAACCCGTGGGGCTGGTGAAGTAGCTCAGTTGGTAGAGTGTTGCTTAGCATGTACAAAGCCCTGAGTTCAATCCCTAGCACCACATAAACTAGGTTTGGGGCACACACCTATACCCAGCACTTAGCAGGTGGAGGCAGGAAGTCATCCTCGACTACATAGCCAGGCTGGCCTCAAACTTTTGGCAAGCAATTCAACTCCAGAGACCACATACTCACAGGAAAGGCCTCACTCCCGCTTCATCTGCTACATGGTTTAGTATCCCACCAGAGACAAAGAGCTGACTCTGGAGCTATTGCTGGCTAAAAAGAAAACAGCTGCTGGCACACTACAATTCATACACGCTTTTCCAGCCTCTCCCTCATTTTTTTTCTTTCATTTTACATTCTTTTAATCTGAAGGAAGAGAATACATAATGATTTCCTTTCATCTAAAAAAAAAAAAGATTCCCAAGGAGGCCCTTTATTAACCAGGAGATGAGGCTGGAAATAGCTTGCAAACCAAATTACAATGAAAAAGACACACTTTAGAAATAAATGAAAATTAATTCAAGATGAAAAATTTACCAAGTAGTTCCCTTGATTGTAGTGTGTTCAGCTGCACTGTAACCAGATGGTAACTTATCAAATACAAAACAATCACCTGGTTCCCAAGGATGTAGAGGCCACGGTTCATCTTTCAGGGGATTCAGTTTACTTGATAACTGGGTTTTATCTTCATCAGAGACCAACTCCTTAATAAATGAGACATTCTCTTCAGAAAGATGTTCATCCCACCAAGTACCACTCTTGCCATGGAGATTTCTAACAAAAAGCCAGATGTTCGTTCTGAAAAAATAAGCCAAATCACATTTCCAATTTAGTAGAGGGGAAGCCACATGTCAAGGCCTTTGGGAATGGTGTGCGTAGAAACTGACATTTTATTTGGTAACAATGGGGCTCACATTTTAACTAAGAATGGTTACCCTGGAGGAAAAGTTCTTCATCTTCTCCAGGATAAACAAATACCTAACAAAGCAGTCCTACCTAAACACATGAGGCCACTAACCCTTTTGAACATGGCTCTTGGCAGGGTTATATCCAGTGGTGGTGGCAGAATGTGGCACAATGACTTTTCTGTAAACAAACCTCTCCCTGTAATGGCACTGAAAGAAGAAACTGAGTGTGCAGTTGTTTTTTTAAATCCACAAAAAGTATGACTTCTAACCAGCTGAACACACCAAAAACTTAGTAGGTGGAAGTGGGCAAGGAAGCATGCATTATGTGTGTAGTTTGTGTAAAATTCTCACACGGAGAGGATCAGAATCTTTACGTAAAGCTTTCTGCAGTCTACTCCTCATTGGTAGTCCTAAGGTTTCATCTTAGAGACTCAACTACTTTCTACTTATTTGCTGAGTGACTTTGGGGAGCCTACTTCTGCTAAATTTCAGTTTATCTGTAACACTGTTAAGATAGTGGTCTGCGCACATGAGGCTGCAAGACCCGAGGCACGTGATATAATACACTTAAACGAACATCTAGTGGTGCATAGTACACGCTGGTTGGAAATCTCTATTATTGCTGTTGATAACTGATGCCAATTTCTTAAGCATTAAAAAAAAAGTACTTCTTCAATCCTTTAGATTCCTTTAGATTATAAGATGCTTTCATATTCTGTGCCCCACGCCTGGACAGATGGTCTTCCTCTAGCTGGCCCTCCTCGCCGGCCCCAAACTGTTCAAGGATGCAGTGTGTGGGCTGCACACCCCTCCAATCCCTCTTCCCCATACCCACCTATTCCCTAAGCCCGGGGTAGCACCTAGGCCGTAGACTCGACAGCCCAACACCTCAGCGCCAGCCCGCGCCAGCAGCCTCCAACCCGGCATGGCGTGGCCGCCGAGGGCTGGGCTCGCGACACCTCTCGGCTCCGCCGCGGTGCTTCCAGCGTGTCCCCAACGCAAGCACCACACGTTCTCTGCAGTCCTGACACAGAAGTCACACCGCACCGCTAGTGCGCCAATTCCCTCTGCGGAGGAAGAGAAGAGTCGAGCCATTTCCGGTCCGTGTCCCAATGGGTTCCGGGTGAGGCGTCAAAACCCGGAACTATAGTTCCGTCTCCAAATAGTCCTACGTTGCCACTGGATTCAGTTTCGAGTAACAGAGAGTAACTCACCTCCTCAGTGGTGGGGAAGAAAGATTTTCGGCTTTAAACTTTAGAAAAATGAGGCGAACATGGAACAAACTTTCTCAGGAAGCTAATGAAAGAGAAATTATTTCTAATAATGCCCACTGTGGGACATGTCATTGTGCTAAGCAGCACTTTGAGTATCTTATATTGGTTAATCCCCAGAACGACCCTGAACAGTTGTTTCCATGTTACAAATGTGGGGTCACAGACTTAGAATTTAGGTGTATGTCCAAAACAGCAAATCTGGTAAATGGGCAGAGTTGACACTGAAATACAGCTGGCACGTGTTAACAATAGAAGGGGGCCGAAATGATAGCATGTGGCTTCCAGGCCAGGGGCTTAATCAGATGTATTACTACTCCTTTCATAGTGTTTTGAATTGCTCCCAAGGAAAGTATGTGTTAGATCATTCAGGCACACAACTCCAGAGGCCCATATAAAGAAGAAACAACTTGTGAGCCACGAGTGAGCCATCTAGGAAATGGATCTAAAGACCCTGGCAATCCTTCAACTCATGAAAGACCTGGAGGCTGAACCAGTCAGCCAGGCAGCTCATGGTTTTGAGACCAGGTGCAATTGTGGCAGAAAATAAACAATGTCACACAATTTCTGTGACTATCCACAGGTAGCGACTGTATCGTCTGCCAACCCCCTACCCTATGTTCCAGATCTTGCCTAGTCACACCCCAAGTGCCTAGGGCATTCCTTCTCAATCCAGAAGTCCATTTACCTGTCAGATGAGTGCTTTTAGAAATTCAGAAACAGATGTTTGGTTCTTTCAGTTTCTTCATTTTATTAAAGATCTGAGTAGCCTGGCTTACACCAGCCCAGGAAAGTTCTACATACTATTGGGACTTTAGTAGGCTCAAAATAATTGCTTTTCTTCTCTTCTTTTCTACTAACTGCTGTTGCAGGTACTTTGGCCATTTCTTAATAGTGTTTTGAGCCTTAAAGAAAAAAAGCCAGCTTCCTCGCTTCACAGATACTTAGAATGGGCACTTTCATTGAGTCCTGGCGCATACTGCATGCAAGAAACTGAAAATAAAATAGCTTTCCTGCTATTACCAATAACTGTTATTTCTGTGCGCACGAGTGCATGCATGTGTGTGTGTGTGTGTGTGTGTGTGTGTGTGTGTACTCAGTATTGTGGTTGTCCATCAGCCAAAGATAACCAGAACACCTGAACTCATATGAAGTTAAGTTTACTTAGCTCAGTGCAACAAGAAAAAGCATGTGCCTGGGAGTCTGCAGGAGTGAGTTGGGAAGGCTTATTTGTGCTTACATCACATGATTTTTACTTACCATCAAGGAAACAGAATTATTTTCAAATGGATTCTATCAAGAATTTAAAAACTGGGGCTGGAGAGATCACTCAATGGTTAAGAGCACTGGCTACTTTTATGGAGGACCCGGGCTTGAATCCCATCACCCACATGGTGCCTAACAACGGTCTGTAACTCCTGTTCCAGGGGATCCCCATGACACCCTCTTCTGACCTCCATGGACATTGCATACCCCTGGTGCACTTACGTAATGCAGGTAATACACTCATACACATAAAATTTTTAAAAATTATTTAAAAAAATAATAAAAAGAAGTTCAGCACTTAGGTTTCTAATCTTTGTTCTGGTTACAGGAAGACCAAAGCAAGTGGGCACTGGGGGTGATGCTAGAAAGAAAGGAGGAGATGGAACTTGATCATTTCATTCACAGTGGTGTAGCATAGGGTTCACCCGTTAGATAGTCATGCTGACGTCCTGTTATTGCTAACAGGATACATTTTCACCCCCTTAGTATATTTTCTCACGTAATCTTTGTAAAAACCTCATGTGATAATACTGCAATTATCTCAATTGTAAGCAAAATATAGGCAAAGGGAGATCACATAACTTAAATAAGATCATCCAGTGAGTAAGTGGTAGAGTCAAGGTTTAAGCCTTAGCAGTGTTACCATAGAAATGGTTTCTGAGACATTGTATTTGTCTCTCAGCAGCAAGTTTGCAACTATTCTGGCCTTAGAACTCCTCTAAGGGTAGTGAGGGAAATTATTTAAGTAAGTATATCACACACATGGTCCATGATGAAGTAGGTATTCAGAATAATCTTTGTCCTTAGTATCAAGTTTTGCCTGATCCAGGATGAGGACATTGTATCAACGAAAATTGTAATAGGCATCACTGCTGAATTGAATCAAAGCAAAATGCGATTTATGTGCTGTCATAAAACCCATGTCTCCTGACTGACACCTGGGGCTTGGAGGTGTCATCACTCTTGATTTACTCACTGCAGTATGCTTTAATTGACAGGCTCAGTTCCCACAAGACCTAGCATAGCTTTCCTTGGGGAACTGAGGCACTGATCTCAGGCTTCTCATCATTTCCACTGTTATTCTTAAGGAGCTACCTTGGGAGCTGGAGAGATGGCTCACTGGTTAAGAACACTGAATGCTCCTTGAAGAGGGCCCAGGTTTGATTCCCAGCACACACATGGTGGCTAACAACCATCTGTAACTCCAGTTCCAGGGGATCCGATGCCCTCTTCTGACCTCCTCAGGCATTGCATGACATGGGTGCACTTACGCACATGCAGGCAATACACTCACACATATTAAAAAATAATAATAATAAGGTATCTGCCTTGGACCCTGTGGTGGTTTGAATGAGTATCCCCCATAGGCTCCAAGCATTTGAACACATTGTCCATAGTTGGTGGTGTTTTGTGAGGTTTTAGGCATTACTTGAGGAAGCACGTCATTGAAGGTAGTTTTTAGCCTTGTCTTCTTCCACCTCCACTTCTTGTGTGTGCTTGAATATGTGAACACTCACCTTCCTGCTCCATCAGCCTCTGCCACATGCCTCCCTGCCATTAGGGACCCCTATCCCTCTGGAACTGCAAGCCCAATAAACTCCTCCTTCTATGAGTTATCTTGGCCATGGTGTTTTATTACAGCAACAGAAAAAGAATTAATATAGACCCCAGGACCCTGGGCCATTTTGCTTCTTTAGGATTTCACTTTCTTATTGGAATAGAGAAAACCCCACCAATCTCTTTTTAATGGGAACAGTTCTAGGATTCCTATTCCACTAATTCAGACCAGAAACTGATAAAAAGCTTTATTCTTACTAAATTAAGAATTAATGGGGCTGGAGAGATGGCTCAGTAGTTGAAAGCCCTGGATGCTCTTGCAGAGGACTTGGGTTTGGTTCCCAGCACCCACATGGCAGCTTACAACCTCCTGTAACTCAAGCTCCAGGGGATCCTACTCTCTCTTCTGACTTTCCAGAGTATTATACAACATGGGTGTACTTACATGCAGGCAAGGCACTCATACACATAAAATAAAAATAATAAATAAAAATACTTTTGAAAGAATGCACAGTGGAGGAAGTGCCTCACCTTATGGCTAGCTGCAAAAGAACATCCCTTAATCCCCTTTGAGAGTATACTATGTCCCTAGTGACCCAAAA